AGATACTATACCTCAAGTATCTTACTAAAATGTGCTTTATTCCCTTTGATAAGAAAATAACAATTTAAACATAGAATTGTTTTTATGACCTCCTGCCTTCAATGAGAAGCAGAATAGTCTTTTATGCATTTAGTTGTGATTAAATATATAAAAGAAACCACATATTGTGTGTGTTTTTCTAGCCAGTCCCCATAAAAGACTGTGTCAGTGGGTGTTTCCTGGATGTAGTACAACTAGGATCTAAAGGCTTTTCCAGTTATTTCAGGGATTCTTGATCCTGAAGAATCCTACTACCCGGGATCTCACGGTAATCAAGACCTAAACAAGATTTCCACCAAGCGCACAAGATGTAATGCTTCCACCTTTGAGGGATTACAGCTTTGGTACAGTTGTCATTCGCTGGGAAAAATACAGGAAATACAAGTGATCCGGACACCAGATTGTTACTGTAATCACAAGATGAATGGGACCATGTTTGCACTCACTCAGTTGAATTTATAGCCGAACCTGTTTCTGGAGGTTAAACCTGTTCTGATCCCCTCGCCTCGCTGTGACTCTATAATGCTGAGTCCAAACAAGACGGACAGAAATCCCTTATAAAAAGCTTACACCTTGGAAACTTAAATTAGCGGTTTAGATGTCCTAATGCTCCCGTCTTTTAATTCCTAAGTCCTTTATTAGTCTCTGTTCAGTAAAAAACATCAACCTACTTGTCTTCCCACACAGCTGCAGAAGCTCTCTGAAGAGATATATTCCTCCCCTTGTGATTGTAACACAATTTAAAGGCAATAAACACTAATTATACTGTTTATATTTATATTACACAAATCTTACTACAGCCACCACCTCTGTCACTACTCTCTCCATAATTATACAGCTTGTACAACAACTAACAGGAGCATTAACTATTAATAACATTAATAATATATTAGTTTATGGTCTTTACATCTGTATATATGTATATGTGTTTGCAGTTTAGAAAAGCTAAAGAAGTCAGTATGAGGTCAATTAGAAACTTGGTCGGCTCAGTATTGATCACAATTCTCTAATCACTAAATTTAATGGATGCTCAGAAAAAACAAATATTGGTACCATGTCTCAATGTAAGGTCCGCAGTTATTTTATAATAAACACTCATGAATCAATTTAGTAGTTTGTAGTTTGAGTTTTATTTATTTGCTTGGGTTAATAAAATTACAATTTACAATGTAAATTAATGTACACAAAGAGGGAAAAGAGCTAAAAGAGCTTATTGATTACCTCAAAATAATTAAAAACAAATTCACACTAATAAAGATATGTATACTGGATGACTCTCTGTTCGAGTTATCTATGAATTAGTTTTAAAAAATTAGAGGTAGTTATTAGTAGTAATAGTTAATAGAATAAGAAGACAGCATCATTGGCTGCATCTTTAAATGTACACATTTCAGTTACCCTCAATACTTAAAACAGTTTGTTACATTTCTCTTCAAGTTATCAATCAATAACTAGAGAACTAGATGGTTCCTGCGGTCTGTAGGTCAATAGCTAAGAATCTCCCTCCAATGGGAATAATCTACCTGTAAATAATCTGTGTATTTCATTTTACCACCTGTTTGAAAATCTTATTATTATAGGATCAATAGTCCATAATAACACCTGTATATTTCTATAATCATGTTTTGTAACTCTATGACTGACATCAATAATCTAAACTAACAACTGTTTTGTTTTTAGTCTCCATGTGTTTTTGTTTTTTATACATTAACATTAAACATATGGTTTAATTTATGCTGTTGTTACTTAAATGCTTTGTGTAATTGAGTACTTTTGTCATTGCAGACACCCTTGAAAACAAGATGGTACATCTCAAAGGGGTTATTCCTAATAAAGAATGTCCACAGTTAATCATGAATTAACCTGAAGTGCTAAATCAATAAAGAAGTATTGGTTGTAGTAGCATCATTATACAGAGGCACTCATACAAATAAAACACCAATACAATAAAAGCTGAAATTATTGATGCTCAAAGCAGTGACGCAGCTGCAACAATAGTACATCGATTAAACAGACAGGTTCAGTAACTATTTGAATCCATTAAAACATTAAAATGAATGAAAACATGCAAAGTTAGGTCCTGAGAAGGTCCTGAGAAGAAGCTTCCCTCCAGCAAACAAAGCAGCAGGTTGCAGGAGAATGACACATCTTATTGAAGCTAATGGTCGAGCCACTACAAAGTAACAGCACAACACACCATGAATATATTCTACAGCAGCATGGTGCCCTCCTGCCTGCTGTGAAAAAGAGGATGATACTACCGTAAGCACCTGATCAATACACCTGGATGACTGAAGAACTGGGAAGCTTCACCTTCAGCCACAAACACCATTTCTGTGTCTGTGTAATGGCAGCATTATTGAGGGTAAAAGACTGAATGTGGTGTAATGGATCCCTCCTGCTAAAGGCCTATTGGTGGTGTAATGTGTTCAATGCACTGTAATGGTGTGGTGAGTGATTTACTGGCACACATTAGACCCCTCAGTGTCACAGTGTACCAAAGCAGCATTGTTGATGGCTAGGTGCGCCTCTTCATGTCTGCAATTTTGTCGGAGGGATAGTTGCAGAATAGCTCTCATCATTGGAGGATAATTTGAGGAAAACATGACAGAGACTTCAGTTTCCTCCAGTGGGCCAGCACAGTCTCCAGACCTCAGCACCACATGGCATCTTTTAGTATGAAATATGAAGTACGCAGTTAAAAGAATGATTGCACGCAAGATAATAAGATAACTTACTCTTCATTAATATCCACCTGATGAAAGTACACACACACTGGTACACAAAGCAACAGGCGTTTGCCGATTACAAACACACCGCTGCATTCAGACGAGACAACCTGCATCAATTGCTGCTCTGTGCGACTTTGTGCTACCTCACGC